TGACTTATATTTATCAAATTACATTTACATACATTTATGGAAGAAATCTCCAATAAAGGAATATTAAAGTCTTCATTGACAGCTTCTGAATTGAAAAATACTTTTCTGCCTAGTGGCAATTTGAATTGCTTGCTGACTCTTTCAACACACAATGCATTACAACCAAGAATTGTGAATTTCTGATACCCTCGCATGGTCTTGAGCAATGCGTATATAGTTATGATTTTCAACACAGAGTAGGGAGACGCATAAATAGAAGCCATGTCTGTTTTTTAAATTAATTTTTTGCTGTTAATTTGAAATGTTTTTATTAAAATCATATTAGATTGCTCACTATGGAAAAAAATAAAATACGTCCAAAAGCTTTCCTTCGATAATTATATTTCTTCGGTGGAAGAATCTATATCTTCTAATATCAATGTTTTCTGAAATAATTTACTTTACACCACACATGACAACCATATCCCACGTAATATGCACTATCGGGATATTCATTGTGCAGAATTAAGCGATACTGTAACAATTTTTTACACAATACTTCAGTAATCAATTTTCCAACAAATCATCCCTTCCGGCATATTATCTAGTTTTGTTGTCGAGGTAGTTTCATCGACAATCTTCAATTACGGTTGTGTGATATCTTTGAGGTTCTGAAAAACAAAGATAAGGTCGAGGTCCCGATCGCATATATTTTACACTGCACATATGCTAGTGGCGTCTCCTGAAAAGTTAGGAAGGGGATGCGATAAAAAGTAGCAAATAGTAGTAAACACTGGTTACCTTCACTAATTACGAGACCTGGTACACAGGCGACATTGTATAGTTACTTATTGATATCCAAAATTAGCACAAAATAGAAAATAATTGGTAATATATTCTATTATTAATAACCAGAAACTAAAAATCATACATTTTTCGGCACAGCAAATGATAAACCAGTGATGCTACAGAATGGCACAGACTTTCCCGTATTAGTTTTCAATTTCCTTTAGTCTCCGCTAGCTATTCGGCTTTGAAACATACTCTTGTCAGCTGCTATCTATCGCCGCCCAAAGTACATTTTTTGTGTGTATATTTTTTAAAATTTTTCGGGTTCCCAATTGTAGAGTGGAAATATTATTTTAAAATTATTAAACAACGTAAAATATCATAATAAATGACAATTTTCTTTGAAAAAATTGAAGCCGTTTTTAACAAAAAGGCGTTTAAACGCTACTGTAATTTTGAAATTTGAAGTTCTTTTTCACAGAAAATTATTGAGTTTTGGAAGAAAACTTCATTCGAAGTAATTTGAAGCACAATAACGCTCAAATACAACAGTGTTTACAAATTGCTGGAAATGGGCATATCGCTGGAAGCGTGAGAGATTTTTCAAAAAATTTACATATGTGTAATTTTTGAAAAAATAAAATACACCAAAATTAACTTTTAACGTAAGTTTAAAGAATTTAATTACCACTATCCGTTCAAACTGTTTGAAGAAAAAAATTGGCGACGTTTTTGAGAAAATGGCCTTTGAGCATTTCTGAAATTGCGGAATTTTGAGCTAGGTTTCTCTGAAAATGGATGAGTTTCAGAGAACCTTTATCTGACGTTATTTAAAGCACATGTACTCATAAATGCAATAATGTGAACAAAGTGACACTAATATAAATATTAACGACATGAGAGAGAAGTAAAAAAAATACATTTTTGTAATTGAAAAAAATAAAAGTATAGACCAATATGGCGTTTATTTCATCTCATAGAGTGGATTTAGCACTATTCCTACCAAAAATTTAAAGAAAAAATTTGAAGCCGTTTTTAAGACTATCGTGTTTTTAATTTTTTTAATTGAAAAAATTGCACGCAATATTGCGCTAAAACTACTAAAATTGTCAAAAACATGTACCTGACGTTAAGGAGAACATATTTTAGTTGAAGGAACACCGGAAAAAATCATACTTTTGAAATTTTCGAATATTAACAGTGTTAACCGTGAAAATCAGACCTATGACAAGTTTATACGTCTATGTTACTCTATTCTTACAAGAAATTTAAAGAAAAAGTTTGGAGCCGTTTTTGAGAAAATTTTGAAAATGTCCGAGGGCTTCATGTAAAGAACCCCCAAATTTTGAGGAATGTTTTTCTCTCAAAGTTTCGACTCGAGCCAGATGGACAGGGGTTTCTTTAATTTGGACAAAATCCTACGTATGGTTTAGCCGCTAGTAATGTTCACGGACACCAGACGGACGTGTTGACAAAAAACCAACTATTTTTCCGTATCTGGGGACTCAAAATTTTTATTTCCGTTGAAAATTACGAAATCGATTTTCCGCAGCATTACATAACTTTTCCTTTACTACGAGTATTACTCCGTATATACGTACGTATACGGAAAAGCAAAAAACACTGTTGAGACACTAGACCCTAAGGCGTCTTATTGTAGTCCGCTCGTTTCCTTATCAAAATTCATAAAGATATTAAGCTGTATCTCTTACACTTCACGTATCACTTAATGTAGCGTATTAGCCCCATTACTTGGGGCTACTTTGATACACATTTTTTTAAGAGTTGTGGTAGATATTAATTTATTTTTTACTTCGTACACGTCTTTAGCACCTAAAAGCATATATGCTGTTTTGTTCATGTTTGCTGAAAACGGTACAGAAAATACGGTAAAATGTTTGCTGTTCTGAATCATAAAAGTTCCGATTGAGCGTAATTCTCGAAAATTCGAACTTCACAACATTGTCTCGAAGTTCGAAGAAGGTATATGTAAGCAATGCTCCCTGGTGAAGAAACTTTTAACTTCTTGCGCCAAGTCCATACGCTACCGCGCATGGAGGCCAGTGAACGAAATTATTGCAGCTGAGATCTTACCAGATGCGTTTGTATGATCACAACAGTCTCGGGATTTATAAGACATATCCGCAACATACACATAGAGAAGAGATATCTCCTCTATATCCGCAATATGCACATAGAGTTGTATCTCTCCTCTATGAATATGCAACCTTCTAGAAGGTCCTTGTCCTTGCAGCGGAATAAAACATAGGGAACGGATGCTACTCTTTAACACGAAAAGAAAATATCAGAAAACCGGGTACTGTAATCGATACAGCGTTCTGAAGCATCCAAAGAAAAGACAATATATTTTGCAGAGAAAATGACAAACAAACTGTAAAGACTATAAATCTAATAATCCACCGAATAACGAAGGGATGCCACGCATCACTCGCATCCATTGACGCTACGCTACTAACACATGCCATAGATAGTCCATTATTCTTTCTATTTAACCAATCCCTCAGACGAGGGTCTTTTCCTGATTGGAAGAAGAGAAATATTGTCACATCAGATTTTATCAATTTTTTGTGTGAACACGGATAAACTACGCCCTATTTTCATCTTAAGCACTATCCCTAAGCTGTTCGAAAAACTAGTGTGCATTAATCCAACATCTCTTGAGCCTGTACTCTCAGACTCCCAGCATGGATTCAGGAAAGGGAGGTCAACCTGCACAAACTTAGTCATATTCAAAAAGATTGTTGATTTGCTCGCTGGTGGCTCTCAAGTTGATAAAATATATACGGATTGTGCTAAGGCGTTTGACCGGGTTGATCATAAGATCTTAATCCAAAAAACTAAAATGGGTTTGGGTGATCCGCTCCTTTCAAGGATCCATTCTTATCTGCATAACAGACTGCGGTTTGTTTCTCTGAATCGTATTCATTCCCACTATTACCGTGTACCATCTGGAGTCCCTCGGAGGTCTCACGGGGTCCTTTACTTTCAACTCGTCCACCAATGGTCTCCCTAGTCTTAAAATACAGTAATATCCTTTTTGCTAATGACGGTAAGATTTATTGTTCGATAGTTGATTCTGACGACGCTATCAAGTTGCAACTTGATTTACTTGCTATCGAAATTTGGTGCCTTCTGAACATCGTTGCACTATGATAAGGGCTATTACCATTAGCTTCTCCAGAAAGTGGGGCACTGTTAGTTTCCTATATAGACTGGATGGAGGGATATTGGCTGCGGTTAACATCAAAGACCTTGGAGTTATCTTCGACAGAACACTCAGATTTCAACGACCTCATTAACAGTATTGTTAACAAAGCTCTACGATCCCTGGGTTTTACCTGCGTATCTCATCACAATTTCGATCACTCTACTCGATGAAACTTCTCTTTAACTCGCTGGTCAGATCCATTCTGGAGTATGACTTTCTGATTCGGTGTCCCTTCACTGGAAATGCCGTAAATCATCTTCAGGAGGCCCAACACAGGCTGTTGCGCAACTTAGCGTTTGGATGGATACCCTATCTCGCAATTATGTCACAACCACACTGTTTACAACTCACTGTATAACAATCCTCATCCACTATTTAAAATTTTATCGGGTGATATTAATTTTAATGTAATTGTAATTTTGTCCCTAATATTGGATTTCGGGTCCTTCGCGTCTACACCTAATTCCTGATTTTCTGTCAAGCCTGTGAAAACTATCAAAAACCTATCGTATTGCCTCTACTGCTGACAAGCACATGCTTTCGTGGCTCAGTAGCTTGCCTTTTACCTTTAAGGTTCCGGGTTTGATTCCCATAGAACTTCATGTGAAATTTGTTGCGACAAAGCTTGAGTTATCACACTTCACTGGGGCTAGTCTAACTATATACTCTCTGGTCCAACCCCTGTGAAGCATCCTAAACCTTACCCTATCCTTATCTTTCCTAATTCTGGCCGATAGGTAGATGACACGATCGCGAAGACGCTACCTATCGGCGATTCCCCGACTTGAATACCCAACAGCCCCTAGAAGGTGCTGGGTGCATCAGAAGATTACACGATGCGCTCAACGCTGCTTGGAGCTAGGAGACGCAACCAATTTTTTAAAAAAAACTAAACGAATTTATTTTTTCAACATTACTTACTCAAGCGATGAGCATACTATCAGAGAATTGCGCTATCAAACCACCTGATTAAAGGGAATATCTCATAAACAAATAAACAATATTTTATCGCCATAACTTTATTTTGACTTAATGTGTTAATTTTTTTAGACAAACTGTATTCCTTCAACATCTTACAATGTTTACTCTATAATACAATACAACTCAGAAAGTCTGTTGGTTTTCTAAAATATAAAAACCTATATCATGGTCAAATATCACCATGGATTTGGCTACCTTATAATATCCTAGTATTACATTAATATAATGTTAATACAAATACAAAATAAACTTGCTTAAAATAGCTGAAATATTATTTTGTTCTTGATTTGCAGATTTCTAGTTTCTTGTCTCAAATACTTAATGTATCAGTCATGGTGACAAAACAAAATATATTTTGTACACACACAAACCTGGATTTTCTTTTTTATTCCAATGTTAACCCAGCTTTATTATGCCAAAATTTAAAATCAATCTATGCACATAGAATTATTTTGTCCTCCAAAACAATTGACACACTCGAAATTTATAACCAATTATTTATTTTTTCATTTTGTTTAATTGTCTGCGACACTTTGAATCATTATTTTTCTCTTTAGGTCAACAGTTGTTTTACTTCGGCAAATACTGATTGGAAATGAAAGATCAATGGAAATGGAATGAAACGTATTTATTACTTGATCTGAAGTAAAGTTTTGTATTTTTTCTCTTATACATTCATATGAAAAATTCTCAAAATTAAGAAACAATGTTTCAGTCAACATTCAGATATAACTTTTCCTCACTCTTTAAATCAATGTATAACATTTTTGGCAGTTGTGTAACGAAATTCTTGAGGGGTCCGCCCACAAAACTTGGTTCCCATTACAAGTGTTAGCACCTTAAAAAGCCCCTAAAAATTGGCCCTCTATTTTTTGGTTTCGCCCTCATAACGGGCCCGAACATTACGCCACTGATTTGTGACAGTGTGAGATTATAGTGTACTTTTAGATTGATAACTCAATTCTAAATCCACCCATCTGTTTGTGTTTGATTATAACATGTATCTTAAAGAGTAGGCATTAGCACTGTGAGATTGAAAAAGGATTTTGTTCAAGTGAACCTTTTCTAAACAAAGACATTTATACATAGGTCATTCAATGTTTCCCTTTTTGCTTCGCAAACCACATGGTTTAAACTTAAATGGTCACTGTAGGAACTTCCATTGGGGTATAGTGGCAGCGCTTCACCAACCGCTTTGGAAGCATGGAGTTTGCGACCGATGAAAAAATGGCGACACGACGTAATTTGGCATAGTGAAAATGCCAAACTAGTGGTGCTACAGAATGGGACAGATGTTCTCGTACTAGTTGCTTTTCTAGTATTTTCGTTAAGGGCTAGCTTTTCTGTCTTGCCACATACTAAACTTTTTCTCAAGTTTTCGGTTTCCTACCAATTTAACTGAAATATTACTTTAAGAATAATATAAAAAGTAAAACCTCATCCTATGAGGACATTTTTTGTTGAAAACTTTGAAGCAGTTTTTAAGAAAATGGCGTATAAGCGTTATTGTAAAAGCAAAATTTGAAACAAAAAAAAATTTAGAAGTCATTTGAAGCACTTCCATTCTTAAATGCAATAATGTATACAAATCACTAAAAATGTGCATACTAATGGCGTGAGAAATATTTTTAGAAAAGTATACACAAAAATGAATTTTGTTCTCTTAAACAGTGCAATCAGCTTTTTTCATACGAAATTTTTTAGCCGTATTTGAGAAAATATTGGTTTTGTTATTTTTTAATATTGCATACATCATACTCAATATTGGGTGAAAACTAGTTTGTTTTTTAAATTGTACGTGACCCTAATGAAAGAAATATTAACAGAAAACAAATTTCATTCAAAGGAAATATGTCTTAAATTTTGCAGTTGTACGAAAACTCCTAAAATTAAATTTTTGAAAATTTGGAGGAACAATAAAAATTGTATCTACGCCACCTTTATGAGTTCATTTCCTTCTATTCTTACAAGAAATTTAAAGAAAAAATTTGGAGCCAATTTTGAGAATTTTGAAAATGAGCTAAGGACTTCATGGAAAGTACCCCCAAAAATTGATAAATGTGTTTCAAAATCGCAGAACTTCGAGTAAGGCCAGGGTTTATTCAGTTTGGAAAAAATCCTTTAAGTAGTTTAGGCGCTAGTGTTGTTCACAGCCAACAGAGAGACGTTTGGGGGGGGGGGGGGGGGNGGGGGGGGGGGGGGGGAGCAACAATTTTTTGGAGATCAGGGAACCCCAAACCATGTATTTTTGTAGAAATATCTAAATTAATATCCTCTATACTATTTTGTAGTACTCTGTATATACCTGCATTTATAGAAAAATAAAAACTGCTGCAAAGGTACCAAAAGTGTTCAGACAGAAATGGCATCTAAGTGGAGAAGTGTAGTTGTGGAATTAAAGTATAAACAAAACAATAAATATTCTTGTATTTAAAAAAAATAAAACTTCATTATTAGATGACCCTTGTATAATTGTTAAGATAAAAAAGGTTTTGTAACATTTCTAAGGCAACAGCACATGAACTCAGACTAACACATCACCATTCCTAGTCATTAGTCCGAAGTGCATTGGTTGCACTATTGATGGAGACATACATCTCCTAAAAATAAATTTTGTCTTATGCTCTATCACCACAAAACACTGCCAGGGAAGCACAACACAAAGGTTGACATGGTTGCTGTAAGAAACTGATATCTGATAATCATGAATTACATTTAATATTCATTCTTACTAAATTATCCAAATAAAGTAAAAAATTTAACTTGGAAACATAATATAAATTGCAAACAAAAAATTAACTTTTTAACAGACATTAAAAGGAACAATTACTGTTCACATAATTAAAATGAATAATTGAAAGTATAACAAAATTCAGTTATTGTTCAAAAAAAATCCATTTAATTTGTTCCATTGATACTTCCATTTCATTCACCAAATAAATGCTTCAATATCAGGTTTCACATCCAGTGAAATGTAGAATTTTGACATTTACCTTCTCTGAACTAATGAGCAAGATTCCAAAGAAACAAATTTTATAACTATATTTTATAGAACAATCTCAACATCTCTTACAGTAACTAAAAATCTTCCTTTACTAAAAAAGGTTTGGCTCATACATACAGCATGTGCTCATTCATTTGTTACAAATCTACCATACACATGACACGTGCATTAAAATCCCCTGCAGCTAAGGAAATGTTGCTTAGTGATAAAACTTCAATTAAATATTAGAATTATATCAAGACATATATGAAAGAAAATGCACAGGCATCTTCATTTCAATTATTATCAAAATCTCACTGTAATATTTGTTTTCATGCCAATCTTTCACTAGTAAATTAGCCAACTGTTAAAAATGGCTACTACAAGAAGCAGCTTTACTTAATAACACTACTTAAAGGTCATTTAAATATTACATTAAATATGCATTCCATTATTAACAATCATTAATTATCTTCATTGTCCTATATCTTTGCAAAAATGGTGTTTTATTAAACAAAATCCACACTTAAAGAGGATATATTGCCGATTATTATAAAAAAATGCTGATAAGTCAATGCATTGTTACCTCTTCTCATTTTAATGGAATCTATTTGTTCTTTTGTGTTGAGGCATGACCTGACAATATTTTACCAACAAAATATTTACCAAAGAAAATTACATTTCTTGGAAAGCAACAAGATGTACAAGAGCTTACAATATCCAATAGAAACAAGAAACTAAAAAGATGCAGTCAACAACAAAAGAGAAAAATACATCAGCCAGCATTATTAATAAATAGACATCATTGATATTTGAAACAACAGTGAAGATTATTAATACAATAGGATTCTTACTTTTCATCATTTTCAACAAGGCAGTCTGACACCTTTCCATTTTGATGAGTTACGATTTGGTTGGCAAGATTCAATATTTTCTCTTTCGTAGTACTGAAGGTTTCTTCAGATGCAGTATCTACTGGTTTTCCTGCTTTGCTCTTCTTATTTGGCCTAGATGTTTCTCCACCCTCGTTTGATTTTCTTTTGCCAGCTTCACAAGTTCCTCGGCTTGTACATGGTTGTGTAACAGAAACTTTAGAAGAGGATTTATTACGATTAAATACAATTCCTAGTGCGGCAGCCAGGACTGCATTTTCTTCACGAATACAACTCAGTTCAGCTATCACATCACCATATTTGTGATCCCATTCAGCAATAGTACGTTTCAGCTCTGCAATTTGGGTACCTTGTTCAGCAATAACAATTGCCTGACTTGATACTCTCTTGGCTTGTTTATTACATCGACTTTTATGCAGACTTATCTGTTTCAAAAGAAATACAAGTTTTGAATTCATGCAAACAAAGCAAGAATTATATGCATTTAAAATTTTTTGCTGCAATTTCATTGCAAAAACCTTCTCACCTTACTACTCAATGACTGACATTCCCTCTTAGCTCTCTGATCCCGCCTTTGACACTTCTGAAATTCAAACCGCAACCTGTCTTGTGTGAAAAATGGCCGGGCTGCGTTTGGACATTCTGTGAACAAAATAAAAATTAAACAATTTAAAAAAATAAAATTTATATTAATAAATTTGAAAATCAAAGAAAAATGAAATCCCTACTTACTAGATGAAGAGCATGGAGGATATGAATTTGGAGAAAAGGTTTCAGAAGAACGAGCATTTTTTAAACCAGGGGCAATTTTTTCATCAAAATGTTCCATTGCCATAGAAGATATATCTCTAAGTTCTTGCAAGATTTCATGGGCTCGAGGAGGAGATCTACAGTTTCTCAGGTATTTGAGAACTCTAAATATTTCATCAATTACCTATAATATTAGGCAAATAGTGAGTTAGTCTCCAAAAGGCAATTAAACACTCATTATCGCAATTGTACAACTTGTATACATTTACCTTTCCTGGAATAAAACAGCATAAACCCACATCAACATATTTCATGAAAGTCATTGATAACATAGAGAGTCTTGTTTCAATAGCTGATAATATGTCACAGTGTCTGGCCAATGGATGTAATCTTCGTTCCGATTCTCTCCTTGGGAGCTGAACTTTAACAGCTTTAATACTGTGTGCATGGAAACGTTCAGCTGCTATAAATCCTTTATTCAACAATTTTTTGCAGATATTGTCAAATCTTTTGCAAACCTGAAATGATAAGCCATTATTAACCACTTCTTTTTTTCCCAGTTACTTTTAGAAGCAGCAATAAAGCAAAATGGTAACATACTATTCTGAAACGTGCTATTTCGTCATAACTCAAATTGGAAAAAATATTTTCAAGAACAATATCTGGTAGATTAAGCAAATCCAGCTCGGACATTCTGAAGAAATAATGTATTAATTGATAAAACCGATTGAATTCACCACTTTTCTTCGCCTCGTCTCCTTCGTCCGAAAAGTATTGAACCAAAAAAAATGATTGTGTAAAATTATAGAAAAGTTGTCATGTGTGATCAAGTAACTCTCTGCAATACCACTCTGAATAAATATAAGAATGCGTGACTATAAATTGCTCTTATTTCACATTGCCAGCCAAGATTGTAAGCATTGGCATGCGCTGCCAAAAATGTAATTAATTAACACTGCCAATATTTCCACTCGACAATAACAAACACTACACAGCACTAAAGCCGAACTGCTGTACGCAGGCGGTATGGTAATCACGACAGATGATAACAATTCACAAGCGCACGGAGGGCCTGGTGGGGCCGGGTCGAGAAGGGGAGCAGTGAGTGCAACCCATCAGTGGCAAGGAGCGTGGCGTGCGCAGCCAGAGAGTATTAAAGTACGTTTTGTTTAGTCGTTCACTTAACGTATATCAACTGTTGCAGTTTCATCCAATTGGAAGCTTAAATGTCGTTAGAGTTACGTTGCTATGGCGAAGTTCAAGCTCCCGATTAGATGAAACCGTGAACAGCTGATTTACGTCAAGTGCACAATTAAATAAATCCTAGTATAGTTATTGTCTTTGCGCGTTTGTTCAAAAAGTCAAATTACAAAATACGATCTATTAAAGATCTTGCAACGTATTGATAACTGAATATTGATCATTATTAACAAGTTTTCCTAATGTTTGTACAGTATTGTCATTTTTGACACTTCTTGTCAGAGCCGAAAGAACGTTTCCAAAATTGAAGCTGATTAAAAAGTTTTTTTTCGAAGTGAATTGGCTCAGGACTGTGTGAATAATTAAAGTATTTTATCAGTTATATTAGATTTATTCAGTCAATAAAACAGTAAAAACTGTATGTGCCGTAGGGGGGAAAAGATTATCTACGCACGTTTTCTTGAGTTCCAGAATCACTTCCCGTCATTTTAACTATATAATAGGGGTTGAAAATGAGTAAAAGTTTAACACTAAAAATAAATCAAGCATTAGCAATATTTTATAGCAAATAGTCATTTTCGTTTCTGAGTAATAGAAAACATTTTTCATCGGTACACGAATTGTAAGTATGATTTTTCTGCAACATGCTAACAAAAATAGCAACTCGCCCTTACCTCTACTCTTACCGTTATAAGCAAAGAGAGAAGTTCAACATAAACGTGCACCTAGTGAAGTTACATTTACGTCCAAAGCAAAACAGTGGCCATTCAGCATTTGCTCAATGAATCAGGGAAACTGGACAAAAACCTGATCGGATGGGGTCATTGACCCGGAAGCGTTGAAGTACATTATTGGTTAAAACATATTTAATCTTTAAAAATATATACAATACAAATGTAAACTAATCTCGTTGTATATCACTGTTTTGTAAAATAAACATTATTTTTCTTTTGGATTTTCATATATCTCTAATTGTATAGAAACAGTTATGTAGCAGAAAAGATTTTACTTTTAACTTAAATTTGTGAAACGATTTCAATTGTTTAATGTCATCTGGCAGTGCGTTGTAACAACACCATCTGGATACTATATTTACTATACTAGGTACCATCTAGATACTATATCTAGGTGGTGTTGGTTGTAAAGTAACGTACATGTATTGTATGTCGATTTCTGATAGTGAGCTGTTGATACTGACACTTGATTAACGTGATTTTTACGATGTGTGTTGTAATTATAATTGCAAGAAATGCATACAGTATTGCATGAAAATATGTTCCCATCGTTAAGTAAGACACTTTTGATAACTATTACAGATCCATAAATATATAGGCAAGACAGTGATAAGTTTCCTAGCTCAATGAAGAGAGGCTTGCAAGGGTAACGCGGATGGCATTTTTTCATCATTCGATTAATTTTCTTTTGCAATCTAAAGGTCTGAGTACTACATGACGAGTTTCCCCAGAATTTTTTACCATATCTCAGGCGGAAATACACATTTGCAAAAATACACGCAACGAGCTGCAAGAAGGCTGACAGAATTTGATAGAATTCTGAATGCGTAACATAATGAACTTAATTTAGTGTTTAATTTTGTTATATGTTCATTCCATTTGAGGTTTGAATTGACAGACCTAGAAATTTTGTTACCTGAACATTACCTAATTGCATATTAATTTTCAATGGAGCATGCGATTGCTGATTTGAAATGCAAAAATGTATTGAAACTGTTTTTCCTTTATTAACTATTAATTTGTTATTACAAATCCAATTTGAAATTTCTAAAATCGTACTATTTTTTTCTTTTTTGCAAAGAAAATTCGTGTGATAGGTAACCGTTCTTCCATTTTTAATAGACGACGGCATATTGTTTACGTATATCAGAAAGAGGATAGGATCTAAGATCGAGCCTTGCGGAACCCCATATTCAATTGGTAAAGAATAGGAAAGATAAGTAAATAATGTCCTTTCATGTTAGTGCGGTATTTTTACTCCTTGAGATCGATGTTTAAGGTACGAGGTTATCCAAACTAGTTCGATACCACGAATTCCATAAGAAGGTAATTTTGATAGCAAGATGTTATGGTCAATAACGTCAAAAGTTTTTGAAAGATCTAAAAATATTCCAATAAGTGTTTCATTTTGGTTCATTGATGAAGCAACATCTTTAAGAAAAGAAATAATTTTCGTAAATTTTGATTCTCTAAACCCGTGTTGTAGACTGAAAAAACTTCGTTTTTCCTTAGAAAAGGTTCCATTCGCATAAAGAAGAGCCTCTCTAATATTTTAGAGAAACCTGAAAAAAGAGAAATTGATCGGTAATTTCCAATTTCATTTTTTCTCCCTTTTCTAAAAGGTGGGATAATTTTTGCTGTTTTGAAAATATCTGAAAATATTTCTGGGCATAAAGAAGCATTGAAAATGTGAGTTAACAGGTGTATAAAGGCAGGTACACCAGTTTTCAATAAACAATCCTGAAATTCATCTAAACCAGATGAATATTTATTTTTTAGGTTACTAACAATTCGTAAGATTTTGTTAGAAAAAGTTTCGGAAATAAAAATCGTGTCGAACATTTTTTGGGAAGGTAATGATATTGAATTTGACCCTTCGTGAGTTCAGCCGCAATTCTAGAAAAGTGTTGGTTGAAGAGATTTGCCACTTTTTCCGGACTACTGGCTTCTCCTTCATTATCCTTTACAACAACATTCTCTACTAAGTAAAGATATGATGTGGTCGTATTTTTTACGATATTTCACATTACTTTAGTTTTGTTACTAACGTTTAAAATATCATGATTATTTTTCTTTATTTTTTGCCTGAACTACTACTTTTATTAAGATTCTTATGTATTCTCGGGAGTAGGCATGGAAACCGGGTGATATGTTAAGATGTTTAGAAATAAAGTAAAGCGTACGTTTGTTTTTACATGATGTTCTTATACCTTGTGTGATCCAACTATTATTTTTCCGTGAAATATTTAATTTTCTCTTTTTGAGAGGAACGCATGCGTTAAAATGTAATGAAAGTTTTAAGAAAAATGGATTATATTTTTCATTTGTGTCAACAGCGTTACCTGTGTCCCAATATTCCTTCAGCAATTAGTCCGTAAATAATTTTATGTTAACTTTCGTGAATGCTCTGCACATGCGTGAATAATTTGTGTCAGTGTTCATGTTATTAGTAATTGTAAGAAAGTTGAGTACAAAAAACGATATGGTTGAAAAATAATATATCTACTGTTATTAAATAATTAGTAAATGCGAAGAAAAGACCAAATTTAAAATTATATCGTGAAACTGCAAACATGAAATTTATTTTATCTAATAGTTTATGGTAATAAAGGTTTTCACTCTTCAAATTCAGGCTTTTTTGCTGTTTTCCTTTCCAATACCGACCTCACAAATTCTAATTTATTACTCTAATTTCTCTTATTTCTGTTTTTCAGTCACTGCACTAGCGCGTTTACTGTCCCTCCAGCCCTCAATTCCCGTTGCAAATATTCTCGTTACCTTGTCCGGCGCTCGCGCTGCAGCTGAGTATGCCGACCTTAGCCCAAATCCGGACACACCGGAAGTTGCTTCGCTACCTCGCAAACCAGCCGTCCGATATGCCGCTCGAAATGCCGTCTTCTCTCTCCTGCCACCAGTTCCACGTTCAATCTTCTTTCATCTTGCTTCTTGGTCACGCCCGGCACCAGAATCGTCACCTCTTCTTCTTTCTTCGCCGGTCTTCCTATGCGGCACGTCAACGCGTATTTCAGTCCTTACACTATTCCGCCTCGTACAACTACTGCACTACTTTCGACAGTCTTTATAAAATATTATATTTCGCCTACTCAATCAGTTCAGAAGGCTAAATTTTTCGCTATCCTACTATTCTTTCGCCTGAACAATTACTTTGCACCGTATTTTCTACAAAACGGTGTCTTACACTCCGCACTGATCTAGCTCTCGACGCACGTCCAAACTCTTCGACGTCTCTCATCAAAAGGGCTGAGCGGACAGATGCCCGGCTTCTCCTTGAGGGATAACATTACATGACCCCTACCGACTGACCCAACGATCTGAAAGTCCATCGGCGGAGCTGCGGACAGCAGATACCCAGGTCACGCTGTTTTGCACCTTCATTAGTGTTGCGCCTACATTCCGGGCACATGTCTTGCCGTCGCCGAAGCAGCGTGGGTGTTTGGAGCATGTGTCAAACGCCACAATATGTAAAGAAAATATATTTTCTTTATTCTAAACATGTGATTCCCACCCTTGGCGCGTGGTTAAGAGTGGTTACGCGTAGTTGAAAAGCATAGGAGAGGAGTGGGACGATTGTTGTAAACGATATTGGAAATTATAAGTATTAAGAGTAAGTGTAAAACAGAAGCGGTTTAGTCAGCTTTAATTGTCGTGTCTCTCGTTTTCACAGGTAAGTTTTCAATTTGTTTAGGTCAAATTAGTCTTTGTTAATAATGTTAAACCTATAATAATTATACTTAAATAATGTTAATAGACTTCTGTAAAATGATGCTCATATAAATGGAATAAAACTCGTGTTTCCAAGGAAACAATTTTAGCTTATCACTTAACCACATAAAAACTCTTTAATTAATTTACTATAATACTAATATTCCTATTAATATATATAGTATATATATATATATATATATATATAATTGGTTATATATATATATATAAGGTATACTGAGCGTGAAGGCTACATTACTTTTTGGCAAAGCATGATATCTAATACATCGGGCTTGCCGTTCGTACTAAACGGATAGCACATTAGGTAGGAGCAGTGGGTGCGTAAATCTAGCGGCCGTTTGCATTAGCGATTGCTTTCAGCTTACGGCCGCGAGGACAGATGATGCGGAAACTCCACGCTCTGTTTTGGCATTAAAATCGCCAGCCACGAGCGTTGGAGTAGAGTTTGCCTCTAATAGTTTTGCAAGTACGGTGCAGTAGGGTGCACGTTTTCAGGGAACGATCAGG